GGGCGTGTTTTCTGTCCCGGGGGCGTGTCCCGTGTCCCGGGGGCGTGTTTTCTGTCTCGGGGGCGTGTTTTCTGTCCCGGGGGCGTGTTTTGTGTCCCGGGGGCGTGTTTTCTGTCCCGGGGGCGTGTTTTCTGTCCGGGGGGCGTGTCCTGGGCTCCGGGGGCGTGTCCCGTGTCCCCTGGGCGTGTCCCCGCGCGGCCCCGCCCTCCCCAGCGATGGTGCCGACGCCGCTGCGGCTGCTGCTGCTCCTCGCGCTGTTTCCCGCCGCGCGCGGTGAGTCGGTCGGGGGCCGTGGGCGGGGCCGGGGGTCGCGGTGACGTCGGGGGTCGCGGTGACGTCGGGGGTCGCGGTGACGTCGGGGTCCGCGCGCGGGACGGATCCGGATCGCGCCGGCCTCCCGCGTCTCCCGCGCGGTCTCACGACGTAATAGTTGCTCAGCTAAAGCGGCGAAGCGCGTTCATCTCCGGCCCCACGCGCGGGGTCGGGGTCGGGGTCGCGCGGGCCGAGGTTAGACCCCGGGACGGACCGGACGGCGCCGGCCACGCCCGCGCGGGGCGACCCCGACCCCGCCCACGGCCGCGCGGGGCCGGAGATTCCGGTCGGGCCGGCTCTGCGGGGCGCGCGTCACCCGCGGTCACGCCCCTGCCGCGGCTCTGCCGGGTGTCGCCGTCGTTTCTCCGCGTTCGGCACTCGCGGTCATCCCCCTGCCGCAGCTCCGCCGGATCTTATCTCTGTTTCCTTCCGTTCCCGTCGCTCGCGGTCATCCCCCGGCCGCAGCTCCTCCCCTAACCCGCCCCGGGCCGCCCCTGGTGACGGGCTAACCTCCGCCCGCCCCGCGCTAACCGGATCCGAGCGGAACTAACGCGGGAAACGCGGGGACTAACGAGCACGGTGAGCGCTTCCGGGATGACGGCCCGACCCCGCCCCCGGCCACGCCCCCCGCGCTGACCACGCCCCGGCCACGCCCCTTCCGCCCCCACCGCAGGCGACGGCGGCGACTTCGACCTCGCGGACGCGCTGGACGAGCCGGGTGAGCGGAAGGGGCGGGGCGAGGGCCGGAAGGGGCGGGGCGCGGACCGGAAGTGATGGGCACGGACCGGAAGTGACGGGAGACGGACCGGAAGTGACCGGAGACGGAGAAACGAGCGACAGGAAGTGACCGGGGAGCAGGCGGGGCCTCGGAGACGACGGACGGGCGGTGGGCGGGGATTCGGAGACCGGAACTGAGCGTTAGACGGGCCGGAAGTGAGTGTAACACGAACAGGAAGTGACTACGACGCGCGCAGAGAACGGGCGGGGCCTCGGAGATGACGATAGCTTGGTGGGCGGGGATTCAGAGACCGGAAGTGAGCGTTAGACGGGCCGGAAGTGAGTGTAACACGGAGAGGAAGTGACTACGACGCGCGCAGAGAACGGGCGGGGCCTCGGAGATGACGTTAGCTTGGTGGGCGGGGCTTCGGTGACCGGAAGTGAGCGTTAGACGGGCCGGAAGTGTACGGAGTCCGTCACACGAGCGGCAGGAAGTGACTGCACCGCGGGCGGGGCCTCCCCGCTGACGCACGCGCGGAGGGCGGGGCCTCGCCGCCATCTTGTTTACTCCCCTCTCGCCCCCAGACCCCACCCCGAAGCCGAGCGGCGGTGAGTGACGTCGCCGCGGCCCCGCCCCGCTCCCCGGCTCCGCCCCCGGCGCTGCTGACTCCGCCCCGGGCCCCGCCCCGCGCCCCCTCCCGCCCGCAGGACTCTACCCCAGGCTCCCCGAGGACCCGGATGCGCACGGCGACCCCCGGCCACGCCCCCGGCCACGCCCCGAGCCGCAGCCGCGCCCACAGCCACGCCCCGAGCCGCAGCCGCGCCCACAGCCCCGCCCACCGCAGGGAGACGGGGGTGAGTAACGGAAATCTATGTAAATGTGTGCGGATCGGGGCGGGGCGTATGCAAAGGAGCCGGGAGAGGGCGGGGCATGCAGATCCATGCAGATTTATGCTAATGAGCCCGCGGCAGCGCTGTGAGGTCTCGGGGACCGGGCGATTAGCATAACTGATTTAAACGCGTGAACAGGGCGGGGACATGCTAATTTATGCAAATGAGGGTTGGCAGTTACATTATAGGGAAACGGAAAGCATGCTAATTTATGCAAATTGCTGAGCTGCATTCGGTGAATATGCTGATTTATGCAAATGAGGGATGGCCGCGAGAGTGTGATATAACAATAATAATAATATAACAGTGTGATAT